CCGCCCCCATTGGCCCGGGACGGCGAACCGCGGCGAGTGGGGGCCGCGATCGGCCGAACCTGCCGCTTCAGCAGGTAAATAAACTGGCCCGGCCCGCTAGGGAGCTTACCCTGATGAGCCGCGTGCCGAACTTTGCCGACCCCTGTATTAGAAGATAGAAATTAGCCCTAAATCTGTGTGTGACTGGAATCTTTTCCTCAAACAGATAGACAGTATTCAATTAAGACCACACAATACTTATCTTCAGTAAAAAAACAAAAACAAACAAAAAACCCCACAAACAAACAAAAACTTTTGTTCAAATCAAGCCAGGAAGGACATCTGATTTTGAAATCAACGATCTCTCAAAATCCTGCATCCTCATAGTTCAGTAAATTTTTTCCTCTCTATATATGAAATTCTCTAATTTGTCTACCTCCTTTCAAATTGATATTTTGGCTGTCTTCCCTGAATTTTTCTATGGTAAGTCCTGAGGGAAGAATTAATTAATTTCAGACTCCTTTACAGATAGCATGACCAACAAGCTATTCAAGTCAAGGAAGTTATTTTTGCTTTTTAAGCCAATGAAACTCTAATGAAGAGGAAGCAAATGCCATTCTAAACATTGGTACCAGGAGGTCCAAAATAGCAGAAAGCATTGCATACTTATGCACTAGCCTGCTGAGCCATTATATCTATTATTTATATTTGTATTATTTTTTGTTGATTGGTAATTTTTTGAGCAACGAATTCATAAAAAAATCCCGATTATTAAAAACTTAACTTGCTAGTTATCTTTTGTTTACTAAGCAATTTTGTCTTTCCTTATTTTCAGATCAGTCAACAGCAATCTTTGTGCTACAGAATACTAAGTGATTTTACAGTAACTGTTCTTGAATAAGCTCAAGGTGAATTGACATCTTCAGTGAAAACAGAAGTGGTGCAAATGCATTCTCTACTTCTGTGGATGACTTACAATCTTTTAGGAAGAGTGAGAGGGAGGGAAAATTCTTTTAAAATCCAAGCCAGCTTTAACAATGAAAGTGTCACCAAAGAGGAGACTTCCTCAGAATGTCTTCATTCTCAAGACACAATATATTAGTGTATAGAATATAATAATCCCACCCCTCTTTTCATTATAAAAGTAGAAACAAACAGAGATGCATTTCGGAAACAATGGGCAAAATCCTACTTTTCTTGAACACCTCAACACCCTTTTATTTCAATGACCTAGTGTAAAGGAAGCCAATTAAGAGCTAGCATCCCTATCTTCTCTGGGGGAAGGGGGGGAACAGAGCAACAAAACAATTCCAACACAGCTGCTATGAGAATTATTAATTTTCCAAATATTTCTCTTTCTTACCTGCTGGTTTACGGGAAAATTCCTGTTGATTTTTTTTATCTATAAAAATGAATAAAAAAATTAATTAATAAATATACTAAATAAATGCAACAATGAAAGGCATTGTGGATGACGTGTGAAGCACTTGTGAGATGTTGTCCTCCACATTAGACTGGTGTAAATCAGGAGTAACTCCACTGAAGTTAGTGGAGTGATACCAGTGTCCAACTGTTGTGAATGAAAGGAGAATTCCTTAACTCAGTATATTGGACTGAGTGAAACAATCGTCCAAGCTTATAGAAATTACAATACATGCAACTTTCTTTCTGAACTTTACAGAATCAATGGAAAACACTGCCATTAATCTCTATTTTTAGAAATTCACAAACCTTAATTTTAAGTGTAACCTTTGGGTAATATTTCTGAAGCATCAAAATATCTAACAACATGAGAACAGCTCTCAGTCCTTGAAGTCATTCAAGGTACATCAGTCTAATAAATAGCAAATACCTACCCATCCTAAAAACACAAGTTAAAAAGTAGAGATGAGCCCACACTAAGCCCATGGAATCGTGGGAAGTTCAGATGTCATGGCTAGCTGCTACCTCTATTTGGGTAGCACCAAAAGCCCAAAGTACAACACTTCCAATTATGGGAGAATCTGAATATGCAACAGATGTAGCTGTTCCTGCTAAGAAGAGTAAATCCATCCGCGCGCGTGTGTGTGAGAACACACACACACTTTCAGAACAAGCTTAAAGGGAGCAAATCTTCTAACTCTACCATCTGCATTCTTAGATGAGACCTTAGATTTGATTGCTAGAGTTTATTTTTTTCTCTCCTAAACTATCTTACTGCCAATTGTTTCTGTGTCTCAGGGGAAATGAGAAAAAATGCTATTCAAACATTAAAGGATAAACCGTATTGTCAACTAGGCATCAACGGTAAAGCCAGCCAGGTCCCCAAACCAGAACATAACATTTACACTACTCCAATGTAATGCGTGACATTTTATGGGAACATAAGATGAATCACTAGAGAATGTATTTCCTCCAAAGTTTATAATCTCATCTAAATAAACATCCACACATAAAGTTGAAAGAAGCACTTCAATGGGTAAACTTAAAAAAGAAAAAATGTACTTTTCCACAGTATCGACCCCCTCACCAGGTCATCCAGCAGATATTAAACACTCTGCAAGTCTTGAACAGCCAGCTCCCACAGCTTTGTTATCAAAGCATATTTAACACTGTCAAAAATTTGCCAGCAGCTGCTGAATTTATTTTGGGTTCACCCTAACCCCAAAATGTCACGAGTCTCAAAGCAAAGCCTCCCTACAAAAGTCTTAGTATCCTCTGTCTTCTGGGTTCATCTATGTCCAGGGAAAGAGAGTTGGAAGAAGAATATTCCAGCTGTTCCAAGTTACTCAATACAATTGTTGGACACTATCTATCCTAAGGCACTTTTCTCAAGAGCAGGTATATTAAATATAGGTTATATCTACACTAACTGCAGTGAGTAGAGTGCAGACACTAGATGCCCAGTTAGCATGGATATAAACAGGAGCGTAGATGGTGAGACATGGCTTAGATGAGTAGAAGAGAGTGCCCTACATACCTGAACCCACAGGGTATATACCCTACATGGCTCCTACATGCCCAAGCAGTGCCTCCCACATCTACACTGCTATTTTTAGCAGTGTGCTGTCCTGCTGCATCCCTGATGCCAGAGACTTTCCATACCACAATGAAAGGTTCCAGAAGTGGGCAAAGTTTCTGGCAGAGGGGAGGCAGCGGAGGAAAGTTCTAGCAGGGGGAGGCAGTGACAAAAGGTGCAAAGAGCGGCCAGAGCATTTTCCCACTGACTCCCCCCTACCAGAGCCTTTCACTGTGGCATGTAGCTACACGTATAGTGCCTGTACTCTACATGCCATTGTAAAGGTAGGCATAGCCATATAATGGATGATGTACAAAGATTTTGAGCCTTATGGGTTTTGTTCCTAAATTCAACATCTATAGAATAACCCCCAATAACAGTACCCATCACTACCTGTAGGTACCATTAAAGTCTTGCCATAATTAGGGCCCTACCAAATTCACAGCCATGGAAAACATACCACGGACTGTGAAATCTGGTCTTCCCCCCGTGAAATCTGGTCTTTTGTGTGCTTTTATCCTATACTATATAGATTTCACAAGGGAGACCAGCGTTTCTCAAATGGGGGGTCCTGACCCAAAAGGGAGCTGAAGAGGGGTCACAAGATTATTTTAGCGTGGTCACGGTATTGTCACCCTCACTTTGTTGCCTTCAGAACTGGGCAGCTGGAGAACAGCGGCTGTTAGCCGGGCACCCAGCTCTGAAGGCGGCGCCCCACCAGCAGCAGCACAGAACTAAGAGTGGCAATGTCAGACCATGCCACCCTTACTTCTGCACTGTTGCCTTCACAGCTGGGTGGCTAGAGAGTTGCAGCTGCTGACTGAGGGCCCAGCTCTGCAGGCAGTAGCACAGAAGTAAGGGTGGCAATACCATACCATGCACTTACTTCTGTGCTGCTGCTGGCAGTGGCTCTTTCTTTAGAGCTGGGCTCCCATCCAGCAGCCGTCACTCTCTAGCTGCTCATCTCTGAAGCAGCACTGCCACCATCAGCAGCACAGAAGGGTAGCAGTACTGCAACTACCCCTACAATAACGCTGCGACCCCTCCCACAATTCCTTTTTGGATGCAGACCTGTAAAATTGCTGTGTAAATGTTTGGGCTCAAACTGGAGCCTGAGCTGTGGGACCCTGAGAGGTGGGCGGGTCCCAAAGCCCAGGCTCCAGCCCGAGCCCAAACATCTACACAGCAATGTTAGTCCCAAAGCCCAAGCCCCGCGAGCCCAAGTCAACTAACCTGGGCCTGCCATGCCCATGCTTTTATTCTGGTGTAGATGTACCTTTAGGTGCTTAAGGCCAGGATTTTTTAAAGGATTTAGGCATTGCTCAGCTAAGCTATAGTTCAGCTTCCCTATAGACAGGGCCGGCTCTAGGTTTTTTGCTGCCCCAAGCAAAAAAATTTTTGGCTGCCCCCACCCCAGCCCTGGGCTCTCCCTCTCCCCCCCCCCAACTGCACCCTCCTGCCGCCCCAGCCCTGGGTCACTGGTAACTCGCTCCCAGGGCGGGTCATTCAGCAGGAATTTTGGATGTGCACAGAACACAGACAGGATTGGTTCTCATATGGTTACAGAACTGCAGTAAAGTGGAACAATTTTCAGCTTGTGTGATTGAAGGATAGCTGTATGCATATTATAAGACTGTCCTATATAAATGAGGAAAAGTTGAGGTGCCTTTATTATTCTTTTGTTCCATTCTTTGATTCTATGGGGAATGCACTATCACGGTCTTCCTTTTAAACAAATAAAACTAAAACTT